ATGATGTAATGGTTTTAGTAATGCCTATAGATGTTGTATTTAAATTTGATTTGACGATGTAAATAATGGAGTGAGTCATGTTAAACTTGATGGGTTTTAAGTGGTAAGAGATTGCAGAAATATAAGGTTACAAGCGTATTATACAGGACAGTAAAACAGTAGCTTTCTTATGTACAAGATATTTTTTTTGTAAAGAGTGTATCGTTCAGATTACACACGCCATTGACAATATTTTGTCCCACGGCGTCCACTGTAACTTTACTGTGTTTATCATGCGACCTGTGAGGACTGTTGCAGATTTACAATGTTGCTATAGCTGTCGTGATGATTATTACTAGGGTTGATGTAAGGTTTAGATTATCTTTTAGAAGGGGTGAGGCTTGAGAAACGGTAATCGATAATGAAATGGGTAAGACCTAAAAGGAAATATACATTAAGTATGCAGTGTCTTTCATTCTATGCATGTGTACTTACTATCTGCCACAGCCATTTTGTTTTTTTTTTAACTAATCAAAATTTTAATTTTATAATCTCCAACATAGTTGTCACAAAACTGATACATTTACAAAAGTAAAATCACTCACACAGGTCATTGGAAAAAACACATGAATACAATTTAATGTAGAAGGAATATAAATTAAGGACACACTAACAACTCCACGTATTAGAACTCTGGGAAGCATCTAAACATGTAATAACAAAACTCATTATTGAAATAGCTAGGAAAATCAGCATTGCAAGAAACCAACAAAAGAAATACTGAAAAACTCAATTAGACACACTAATTATTTGCAAAAGCACTCTAGACAAATAGATGAAACTGGGAAAACTAAACACGTTCCATACACATAAATATAAAGGCGCTCTCATTTTCAAAGAAGGATTAATACTTTAGGGAGTGAATGAACCTAACACAACAATATAATACTCGAGCAAATACACGCCAACAACTAACACATCCACAGCATTAAAAGCAGCGACGGCACGGTGACAACCGACCCTGAAGCCATCAAACAAAGTTGTACTAAATTGTGTCAACAACTCTTTGAATCAGATAAAGTTGTACTACATTTTATCCACAACTCTTTGAATCAGACAAAGTTGTACTACATTTTATCAACAACTCTTTGAATCAGATAAAGTTGTACTACATTTTATCAACAACTCTTTGAATCAGATAAAGTTGTACTACATTTTATCCACAACTCTTTGAATCGGACAAAGTTGTACTACATTTTATCAACAACTCTTTGAATCAGATAAAGTTGTACTACATTTTATCCACAACTCTTTGAATCAGACAAAGTTGTACATCATTTTATCAACAACTCATTGAATCAGACAATGTTATACTACATTTTATCAACAACTCTTTGAATCAGACAAAGTTGTACAACATTTTACCAACAACTCTTTGAATTAGACAAAGTTGTACTACATTTTATCAACAACTCTTTGAATCAAACAAAGTTGTACTACATTTTATCAACAACTCTTTGAATCAGAAGAGGTCAATGCTGACACCCGGTGACCCAAAACAAATATTTAAAAATTACCATAAAGGCAGACGACGAGGACCGCAGGAAAACAGACACGCCCATCTCTAAAGAAGACATACTCGAAGCAATCAATGAACTCAAACAAAGTCCCGGGTCCAGATGGCCTGACAAACGAGTTTTATAGGACTTTTGTAACTGACCAAATCCCTATGTTACAGGCAGGTTATAGCGACATGCAAACAAGTAGAGACAGCGTTTAATGCATTGCTGTTTGAAACGCCCCGTGTACCTGTAATTGTTTTTCATGTGTGAAAATACTAACAAGATTAGTTGAGTTCATATTCTACAGGTCTGGTAAGTCTTAGCAGAACATTATTTCCCTTTACCAGCTGTAGTGTATTGAGTATTGCCTCTATCAAGATGTGAATACAAATGTACATTCATTAATCAAATAGAGATAAACCATTTCGAACAAACTTGTATTCGAACAGGCGCAGTCTTGTTTATTATTAGCCATCTAATGTCATGAAAGTATGTACTATATAATTATTTAAATGTTTTATTTATTTATTTTTATTTTATTTTATTTTTATTATTGTTTAATTTCTTTTTACAAATGTTCTTTTCAGTTGAGTAGAGTTTGAGCAACGCAATGTGTTAGTTTTATATTACAAAAATAATATAAAAAAAAGTTATCATGAAGGTGATTATAAACCGTTCTTTATTTGTAACGATTTCTTTTGAGCAATGTTACTGGTTTATGTCCCTTAACAGTGTCAGTTACCTACCTGACAAATAATTTTTAAAATTTGAATTGATATAAATCATGGTTTATGATTATATTACACTATTTGAAAAATTATAAGCAAATTTGTGAGGAACTTTAAATGCTTCTTTATTTATAACTCTTTTATTGTGTAAGATTAATGGTTTATGTCCCCTGATTGTTTTAGTTTCTAACACGGCGGATAACTATTGCATGTTAATATTAGCAATTAACGAAATAGTAGTTTAAAGGAATAATTTCTGGCGTGAGCAGAAGCGCGATTTAAACGTGTTGAAAAAAAATTAAGGAAGATATAACATAGCCACTACGTCCCTTTATAATAATTTTACGCCTTTTTTGTGGTGTTAATAACAATGCCCTTACCCCACTTAACTCACGCAAAAACCTAGTCCAAAACAGTCAGTATTATGATAAATAGTTTAAGCTCTTATTGTTACCCTAAGTTTTAAATAAAAGTTTATTTCGATGACTCAAAAATATATCGCTGCTCTATTGATTTTCTATTAGAAAAACTAACCCTAAAGTACAAAAACATGCTTAATACCTAGTAGATCATTTATGATTATCTGTCATTTATGTATAATGTTTGCTGATGAAATGGGTCGAGAACATGATTTGTATTGAAACCGCACTTGATTACTTTCGAAAACGGAAATAAAGCGATCATCGTTTGCTTGTTTTGTCCTCAGTAAGTAGCGCATACATACTGTTTAAATTCAATTTAAAGACATGTGGCGCAATATTACAATATATATATATATATATATTTTTAAAACTTTGTTATGTATGTTCAAATATGCTTTTTACAATTAGCAAACAATCATGTAATATAGCAGATTCATCGATGAATGAAAATGTAACATAATACGGTTGTAACATATCACACTGATGAAAGAAACTAAAGTAACACTTAACGGTTGTACACGTCTCACTGAAAGTAAATGTAGTATTTATTTGTTAATCTATGCTTGTTTTTTTTGTGTGTGTATAAACGCAAAGCAACTGCAAATAACCTGAACATACTTTTTAAAACATATTTTACATAATGTGTTACCTACGTTAGAAAGAGAAATGTACATATTCATAATTTAAAAAATAATGATATAGCATTAAGAAATAATAAACATTAACTACTATTTAGATAACAAAAAAAAGTAGGTAGCGTTTACATGTATTCAATACATTTACTATATTTTATGAAGCGACCCACCAGCCTAGATATTGGTCAGTTAGAAGTAGTGGAACAGTGGCTTGCCAGGTTGGTTCGATGATGGATCACAGACAGAAGCACGGTAGAAAGACAGAGAAATCTCGTTAAATAGGAGCTTGTAAATATGACACGTTAGTACAGCTCTCCACAAACTATCATGTTATATGATTCTAATTATAATGAATTAGTTTTCATTCTTTTAATACCTAGGAAATCAATATTTTACTTGAATATGTATTTCTCTACACACACATAATTAAAAATAATTTCACAGGGCGTAACAAAATCAACGACATTTTTAACGAAACACTGCTCACAACACGAATTAATCATTTTTTAACATCAGACATGTGCAATATAATGTAAGCATAATTTAAATAAAAAACCCACTGAAGACGGCCCATAGCGAGATTATCGTAAGCACTATCATCATTATATCAGAACAAGTAAAACTGTTATGAAGTTAGAAAGAAACATGTTACAATAATATATATAATACAAACAGCTTTTTATAAAAAAAAAGTGAGATAACTTTGACTAAGTATGTAACAAGATGTAACTGCACAAAGGGACACACGCCGGGTGCCACACAGGACTACGATTGCTTAAAATGTATCAGGACAAAACGCCATCAATACCTGAGTACCATCAGCACTGTTACTATTGTTGCTAAAAACGTTAAAAAAGGCTTTCAAAGTCGGGGCTAAGAGGTTTCTTGTTTATAAAAGTGATCAAGTAGATGTTTAGCCAGGAGCAGGAACCTATGAACTAAACACACACATCAACAGAAAATTAGTCTGGCACTAAGCATTTGGCAGAGCACCAATCATAAAAGCTTAATTTAAATAAACGCAGATAAACAGAAAATACCACTGAAAAGTCGCATATCTGAAGTTTTACTACTATTCATACCAACTGCCAAAATTAATTTATAACCTGCATGAAGATGGAAAATGTCATGTAATTAGAAATCATTGAAAGCTTAATAAGGATAGACAATAGTTTAAAATATTCCACTAAACTTTTCTTTGTCTGTAAATTATTCAGATGGATGTATCATTGTTTTCTCTATAGTTAGCAAGTTCGCAAAGGGGTCACCACCCCCTCCCCCCCCCCCCTTTACGAGATCGTCACTTTGTACTTAATAGACTTTTTAACTTTAATTAATCAATCACTGACCTGAAGAAAAGCATATTTCTGCCTTGCGACGCATTTGACTTGCACCATCACAACATTCCCTATTTGAATGCATTGACGCAATTATTGTTACTTGTAACAGTTACTTCCCGTTTTATTATTTAAATATATTAAGGTAGGTAATTACATACGTTTGGTTGCGAAATATAATTAAACATTATATTAATAATAATTGAAAAATTATATGCGGATTTTTGTTACTTTTTTAAAATTTTAAATAGGTTTGCTAAACTGTGATAGTATGATCTATAATTTCTTAGAAATCTTATTTATAAGTCTTCCATTTTCAAAAATCGGAAAACTTAAAATGATGTAACAATTGTTTTGTATAGTTGAGAAAACTTCTAATTCTTAGTACTTAATACCTAGCATCGCCGTGGTTCTTTTATTTCTTTAGAATACAAAGATCAACTAACAGGTCTAACAAGTAGATTATCCATGACTATCCATGAAGCTACAATTAATTGCTATATTCATGTTTAAAAAAAAAAACAGGTCTAACAAGTCTTTGGATATTTGTCATGAGGATGATCATAACATTTTAACTACCACCCCTGAATTTCTTGCTTATGTGGCTAAACAACTGTCTCAGTATCTTGATAATGAATTAGCTGAATCAATATCAGACAATGTTTGGCATTCAAGTTACAAGAAAAAAAAATAAACAAACCGGGATTAAACTTTTATCATCATCTAAAGTATTGTGTCAATTAGAAGATCCTCAAAAAAATCATCAGCTCCACCCCCACAGCTGTTGAATCCCCAACCCAGAAAACACAAGTTGAGCACAAGTTCAGAAAGCTCAGAAGATGAGAAAATTTCAGCATGTGTATTTTCTGTAACAGACCTAGAGGAAGAAATTGAAAGGCTGGCTGGGATTAAGTCGCAGACTAAAGCAATAGTGGACTCTGTCCAGGCTACTGTTAAAGAAGTTGCAAAAAAAATAAAATAAAAAAATAAATATAAATTGAAAAAAAATTATTAAATGTACATTAATTAACTATCTAGAACAGACCAAATAAAGACGAAACCTAATATATAATTAAAAACGCTATTTCAAGATTTATTTACCAGTGATTTAGAAAAAAACAACAGCTTTTTATTTTATTTTGCAAGAAATGTATAGGGGTACATTTTTTGCAGGTTATTACTCTTAATTGATGTTATAAAATATGTGTTATGTATATACACAAATATAAAACTTAAATTAATACGTTTTATGTTTTGTAGACTAACGACGTTTTGCTTTCAATAACGGTATTGCTATTGGTTCATTTATGAAATATTTTTCCTGGACTAATATATACAAATTTAATAATGCCTCTACAACCTACTAAAAAGTGCATCTTGAACATTCAAAAGCACATAATAAAGTAGCACCACCAAACATATCTGACCAAAACATTAAAAAAGTAGTAAAATAATAATTCAATACATTATTCAATATTATGTGCATATATATACAGCACGTATCTGTTTAATTGTATTGACTACCTTTACTGACTTAACACGTAGAGGGGTTTAGATAAGTTTAAAATGTGTATCGACGTGTGAAGATACTGAATTTCAGCCATAAAATCAATATTTACACACTGTTGTAATATTTTGTAACTATAGAAACTGATTTTGGTCGGCGTCGGGCCCCTAAACGCCCCCCCCCCCCCCACATTGCGTTGTCTGACGGTACTGTAGTTCGCCCCTGCACACCATCCTCAACATCACCCTTGGCAATTACTGACACTAAAACGACACGTCTAGATTTTCAAGTTTGGTTTAGATATTTTAAATTATTTAATAGTACTATAAACAGTTATGCCCCTTGTTTGAATTGTATCGTATTTGAAGGGTTAATTCATAATAATGATTCGAAACTTTATTTCAAGATATATTCAAAAGCAGTATAGAAAAAAGCAATATATATTAAATTTTATTTTAGTAAAAATTATAATTCAATACACTTTTGCAAAACATTACCTCTTTTAAAGAAATAAGTATTTTCTTTTTATTTATATACAAAAAACTAAAAGTTATAAAAAATACGTTTATGTTATGCTTACTTACGACGCTTTTCAGTTTATTACGTTTCCAAAACATTTTCACAGTGTTATCTTATTTTTAAAGTAATAAATTTATTTAAAAAATACAACAACAAACAGGTACATTAGAACACATTTTCAAACACACGATTAGAAACATTAGCCACAAAATCTTAATACAAAACAGGTGAAATGGAGGTATAGGGCTACACGAAATTCATACTAAAGTAAACACCTTCCGATTAAAACATCTTGATATAATTAAGGATAGAGCCACATTATCATCCATTAGCACAACACTACATATGGTTAAAAATAAAGAGCATTTTGAAATTAAACATCATAACACCACACTATGGGGGAAATGACATAGGCAGCTGTTATAAAGAAAACTAGCACGATTCCAACGAAACAAAAGCATTATTGGGGAAGACACAAACAAAATATACGGCATCCTAATCAAACAACAAGCGAGACCCATATACACGAGAATTAGTAGGGCCAGGTAACACTATGAAATAGACATTAAAGCTACATTTAGAAACCTAAATAATAAACGCATTGTACCAAAAGAAAGGGAAGTAGCATACAGACTGATTTTTAATACAACTCCAGTTTCACGAAATACAAAGCCAAATCAAAATATTAAAATAACATGTCGAACGTGTAAACAGAATATACAAGAAACTGAGAAACAAATTAATTTAGATTGTATATTAGTACAGAGAGCAAATACAACACTTGCGAAAATATTAAAAACCACCAATCAAACAGCCCAACGGAAATATGTGATGTAGCGCCCCGATAACCTGCATAAGCTAAGCGGATGGGGTTACTTCTTTAATACATAAACACATATATAGTGAGGCTTAAAAACTGTTGAAGTAACATACGAGGCTTGCCCCTACAATATATCAACCAAACCCTATCAATGATACTGAAATGGAAATATATTTTATAATGTATGCAGTATATTAATGTGAAATAACAATTTGGAGAGCATAACATGAACTTATCTTTAACAATAACTAGAAATACCTGCAAAATACTACACATAACCCTATTTAAAGCTATGTTACTCAACATTATTTAGGCCGTATTGTAAGTGTTTTTCATTATAGGGTATCGACGACGTCATTTCTTTTGAGGGGGTAGGCGGCTTAGACGTAATGTGTCGAGAACATGAGTTGTGTTGCTATTTTCTATTTTACTTAAGCTTTATATAGCTTTATGTACACTTGTTGTCTCTATAGCCCAGCTTGTTTAATACACGTTTAAAAATGGTCAGTTTTTGCTTTAATCCAATGGTACTGTAAACACAAGACAGTTATAAAGCAACCCACCGGAACTAATACACATGGTCAGTTTTTGCTTTAATCCAATGGTACTGTAAACACAAGACAGTTATAAAGCAACCCACTGGAACCAATGCCACACCCCGTCCTGCAACACAACTGACCCATAGAGTTACCAGGCACCATGGCGTAGTAAATAACAGTATGGGAGGGGTGGGGTATGGTTTATTGGTAGAGTACTGGATTTTTTTAAAAACTAAACTGATAAAACCGGATAGTATGGGCCACTGCCTTACAATGTCTCTGTAGTTGTTACGAACATTTGAAGTCGTCCACTGAGTGTAGTGTTATCGTTGGTTCAGACCCTAGCAAATAATGCCGTCGTTGTCTATTTGTTTGTATCAATGGTAACTGAACCAGTCATAGTCAAATCTTACATATGCTTTTATATAAATATAACATACACTAGGCACAAAAGAGAATGCAATGTGTTACTCATAAAAAATAATATATAGCAAGTAATCAGTAGCATTCACTCTGCGCATGTATATCTACTATCTACAACAATCATTTTTTGCTGTTTTCTTTTTTTTTTATTTACCATCATTGTACTTGTAAACTTAAAGATTGTAGTGAATTAATTTAATAAGGTGAAAGCAAAAGGATCATAGCAACTTAAATACAATTTAGATGAATATTACATTATTCTAGTTACTTCCCATATTAAAAAAAAAAGAAAAAAAAAGGTAACTAACTTGTATCTATGTAAACTACGGGTTCAAACTTGAAATACAATTAAATACACGTTATTCTCAAATATGTATATTAGAATTAATTTTTAAAAGAAGATATAGACTTAACGATGTTACGAATGATTTTTAAAAATTGTGTTTCTCTTGTTTTTGGTTATGCATTTTAATTATACAAGTAATACCTTTATTAGATGCAAGATTCGATCAGTCGAGAATGTTTATTTTAATAAACGATCAATGCTCATTTACAATGTGGTATTGAAATGTTTTCATGATAAAAATAATTATCAGTTCTCGAGAACAGACCAAATACAGACGGAACGTGTTATAAAGCGATATGACAAGCTGATTATTAAATACTTATGACCATCGAAGAACAAACGGGCTTAAGAAATGACAGAAGATTTTTTTTTCATCACAAAACACAGTTCGATTCGGGTTCACGTCAACAGACGTTCCCTGAGTCCACCCAGCTCTGATGGGTACCTAACTCACGTTAGAGTATGTAAAGGCGGCCGGGCATAGTGCTGACCACACTATCCTTTTATATGCCGAGTTCACAGATGCCAGTGCACTCTATTTTATTCACCCCGTAAACCGTCAGGTATGAAATATAACTTGTTTTTACACATAAACTGCGTCAGGGTTTGATTAACACAGCACGGCATATTCTAACTCCATGCTAATTAAAATAACACTAATCTATATGTTGTAGGTAAACATTAAGTCAGACGTATTGTCAACAATGCTTTTTAAATCTTGTCATTGACAATGAACCAAAATCAACAAGAAAACTAAAATCATGTAAAGAGAGTGTGGTTGGAGGAGCGCCAAGATATTAAGGGGTGTAGGGAAAAACGTTCATATATGTAAATCACGGTCTTAAAGCTAGATATATATTAGGGTTAGGTTAGAGAAGTAATTAGTTTTAATTATCAATTTAAATGCTTACAAACTCTGGATGTGAACTCTATATGGAATGTAGCGATCGAATATAGGTTTGTTTTGTCATCAGTAAGGATGCGATAATACTTTGGTAAATTTCAATAGTAAGTTTGATCTTTTAATACGATTGTCAACGCACTTTTGAAGTACTAGACGTTACACCCTCATGATTTTTGCATCAAAACGAAATTTAAAAAAAAAATGTCTCAGGGTTAAGTTAGTTTTAATTATTGATATTCATATGATATGCGGTCTTCATATCGGAGATGCAGCGATTATATGTTGGCTTGTTTTGTCGTTATTTCAGCGACATAGTGTGAGGTCTGTGTTGAAGTTAAAATTATAGTTTAGTGAGGGTTGTTATTGTGTGGACATGGTCTAGTGTGGGTTTAAGTTTAGTGAGGGTTGGGATTGTGCGGACATGGTCTAGTGTGGGTTTAAGTTTAGTGAGGGTTGGGATTGTGTGGACATGGTCTAGTGTGGGTTTAAGTTTAGTGAGGGTTGGGATTGTGTGGACATGGTCTAGTGTGGGTTTAAGTTTAGTGAGGGTTGGGATTGTGTGGACATGGTCTAGTGTGGGTTTAAGTTTAGTGAGGGTTGGGATTGTGTGGACATGGTCTAGTGTGGGTTTAAGTTTAGTGAGGGTTGGGATTGTCTGGACATGGTCGAGTGTGGGTTTAAGTTTAGTGAGGGTTGGGATTGTGTGGACATGGTCTAGTGTGGGTTTAAGTTTAGTGAGGGTTGGGATTGTGTGGACATGGTCTAGTGTGGGTTTAAGTTTAGTGAGGGTTGGGATTGTGTGGACATGGTCTAGTGTGGGTTTAAGTTTAGTGAGGGTTGGGATTGTGTGGACATGGTCTAGTGTGGGTTTAAGTTTAGTGAGGGTTGGGATTGTGTGGACATGGTCTAGTGTGGGTTTAAGTT